CCCCGTACCCCAACACCCCCAGAATCCTCCCCAGAGCAGGGGGGGGACTCCCTCTTCCCCCACCCACGGCATCCAGCCTGTCCCAAGGCTGGGCAGGAGGATCCAGGAGGATCCGGGGGGATCTGGGAGGATCCAGGGGGATCTGGGAGGATCCGGGGGGATCTGGGAGGATCCGGGGGGATCTGGGAGCATCCAGGGCTGACCGGGGCTCCAAACCCACCGCAGCTGCTGAGGAAATCCCGGGGTGGCTTCACCCCTTGGGCCTGCCCAGTTGCTCCCGGTGCTGAGCGGCTCTTCCTCCTCCTCCTCCTCCTCCTCCTCCTCCTCCTCCTCCTCCTCCTCCCGCGGCCGTCCCCGAGTCACAGCAACCCCCCAGTGTCGCATGCAGCCCCCCCTGGACCCCCTCAACAGCAAAGCCACTGGGCCCACACTGGTTTTTACTGGTGCAGGGACAGGGCAGGAACAGGGTCAAACTCCCAGGAAACGGAGCCAAAAGTCTCTGGCTGGGCTGGCACCCGTCCAGCACGGGGGGTGGGTGCTCTGAGACCCCCAGGAGGGGCTGCTCCCCCTCCAGCACAGCAGATCCCTCGGAGAATCCAGGATCCAAGCGGGAATGGTCCCTGCACATCCCTGGGACCCCAAACTGGGTCAGGGGCTCACGTGCTCTCTGTGCCCGCCCCGAGCTCCAGCGCCCTCCGGGCCATCTGCAAGGCCCCCTCCCGGGTCCGGTGCCCCCCGATGAAGCCGCTGGCGTGGACGAAGACGCAGCCGGGGATTCCGGCCAGCTCGGACAGCGCCTCGTCCCGCAGTCCCCGCCAGGCCTCGGGCAAGGGGAGCCTGTGGGGGGACACAGGGCTTGAGAGTGACCCCGAGCCCACGGGGGGCAGCGGCACGGCCAGGGGAGGGGTCTCACCGGCTCTGGAAGCTGTGGGGGGCTGTGGGGACGCTCTGCACCCGCCACTGCCCGCCCCGGTCCGGGAACAGCACGAGCTGCAGCGGCCGGGGCAGGGCCAGCTCCCGCTCCAGCTGGAACACGTGCTCCTTCCAGGGACAGCCACCCTGGGACAGCTCCAGGACCTGCCCGCTGGCGTCCACCTGCGGGGGGACACGCTGGGGACACGGGGGTGACTCCCGAAACCCCCCCGGGCTCCGTGTCCCCGAAAGCTCGGAGTGCCCTCCTGCAGGGATCAGGGGCCGTGCAGGACGTGGGGTTCCAAGGCCCCGCCGGGAGGTTTCTACCGAAGGGATTTGACCTCCCCACACCCCAATTCTGCCCCAGTATTCCAGATTTCCCTCGGGCCAGTTCAGTGTTACCTCGAGGCGCTGCCGGATGGCCTCTTCCACCAGCGCCCGCGCGGGCAGCCAGGCCCGGTGGTAGAAGTCCAGCCGCTCCAGGAACTCGCTGCCCACCAGCTCCATGGCCCTCCTGAAGCCCGCCTGGGGACACGGGGGTCAGCAGCGTCCCTGAGCAGGGTGTCCCCGAGCAGGGCGTCCCTGAGCAGGGCGTCCCTGTCCCCGAGCAGGGTGTCCCCATCCCTGAGCAGGGTGTCCCCGAGCAGGTGTCCCCAAGCTGGGTGTCCCCATCCCCAAGCCGGGTGTCCCCATCCCCAAGCAGGGCATCCCCGAGCAGGCGTCCCAGGGGCCACAGGGGCTGTCCCCACCTCGGTGTCCTGGTCGGGGTCGTTCCAGCGGGGGTTCAGGTGCCCCACGCGGGCGCTCAGGGTGGTGCTCAGGGCGTAGCGCGGCTCCCCCGCCGCCGGCGCGATCCCGTTGTCCATGGCATCGATCTCCTCCACAAAGTTCTCGTACAGCTGGGGACGGCGAGGGGACAGAGGAGGGGGAGCAGCAGGGACAGAGAGGACAGTGAGGGGACAGCAGAGCAGAGCCTGGCTGGAAGCACACTGGCTCCAGCAGCTGCCACAAACTCTCCCCTTTCTCCACCGAGGACAAGCCCTGGGCAGAACCGCCACCCCGGCAGGGTGACACAGCCCCTGTCACCTTGTCATAGAGCGCTGTGACCACGGGCCCGTCCTCGGGCTGCCCCAGGAGCGCCGCGAGGATCTGCGCCCCGAAGTGACAATAGACGAGCCCGGCGCTGCTCAGCTTCGTGCTCCAGGGCTTGTCCGGCCGCAGGCTCCGCATGGACTCCGCGAAGGACCTGCGGGGCCACGCGGTCACCGGGGGCACCCCGGGGACGCCGCTGCACCCAGGCCGGGGGTCTCACCTCTGGTGGTGGTCGTAGCGGTGCCGCCCCGGGTCGTACTCGCCCCCCACGTCCACCACCACGTCACAGCCCGCCAGGCGCTGCGGGTCCCGCGTCCGCACGATCTCCGCGTCCTGCGGGGGACACCGGCCTGAGGGTCCCCAGGGCCGCCGGGGACCCCCCGGGAGCGGCTCCGGGTGACGAGGGACACCGGGAAGGGACACCAGGGAGGGGGTGGGGGAGAGAAGGGACTGGGGACACAAGGCTGACCCCCGGGTGGCACCGGGGACAGAGAAGAGGCCGCTGTGCGGACTCTAGCGTCCCCACATGGGACCGAGAGAGGAGCGACGCGGAGGAAGACCCCAGGACCCGGCACCGCGGGACCCCGAGTCGGGCGCGCTGCCGGTGCCGTACCCGGTAGCGGGGCAGGAGGCGCAGCAGGAAACACGCCAGCGCCTCGTCGCAGTGGAAGGTGCCGTCGTGGGTGCCGATGCGGGCGGCGGGCTCGGGGTGCGGCCGCTTGTGCGCGGTGCCGGTGGCGGGGCCGGTCCCGGTGCCGGTGCCGGTGGCGGCCATGGCCCCGAGCCGGGCGGCGCGCGCCGCCCCGCGCATGGCGGCGCCGAGGCCACGCCCCCACGGGGCCACGCCCCCTCGCCGCAGCGCTTCCCGCCAAATTTGTCCCGCGCTTGCCCGGGTTCAGCCCCGCCCCACGCGCGGGTGCGCACGCGCGGAGCGAGGAGGGGCGGGAGCGAGGCGCCGGTTCGGTGCGGCGCGCGCCCTCTGGCGGCCGGGACAGGGACAGACACACGGACA